CTGAGGTTAGCCCACAGACTGAGGTTAGTCTACAGACTGAGGTTTACGTGTCTGAACAGGTTTATTCCCTGACTTCATTTTCAGGATCACGATAGAAATGTCAGTGAAACTAGACGGAGGTGAGTGTGTGTGTGTGAGTGTGTGTGTGTGAGTGTGTGTGTGTGAGTGTGTGCATCATATCAGCTGATTACTGGTAGACTGTCACACACTCACACACACACACACACACACCTCCATGAGCTCACAGACAGAGGAACACGTGCACTGGCAGACAGTGAAGTTCACACACACACACACACACACACTACAGGGTGTGTGTGTGTGTGTGTGTGTTATGTAGCACAGCTCCTCTGGGAGCAGAAACAAAGAAACACCAGCTAGCATGTTAGCTTTAGCCTCTGTTAGCACCAGATCAGACTGATTTCATGTCTGTCAGTCGCCATGGAAACTCCAGGATGGCAGCAGCAGCAGCTGTCGATCTCACACACACACACACACACACACACACACACACACACACCCGTGTGTGTGTGTACTGTACATTAACTGCTAACTCTCGTCCCTCCCTGCTGTTTATGCAGTAATTAGAATGAACTCACTGAGACACAAAGACTGTAGACACACACACACACACACACACCCCCACACACACACTGACCATTAAAAAGCAAGTGTGTAACAAATATTTCCTCTGAACAAAGTCAGCTAATCTAGTCTAAATATAGACGAAGGCTAGCTGTGAGAATTAGCGTTAGCCGTAGTTGTTTATCAGACAAACTTTAAAAAGGACAAATGTTTAGAACAGCTAGCCCAAAGCCAGGAAGATAGCTGAAAGTTAGCCAAGAAGATAGCTGAAGGTTAGCCATGAAGATAGCTGAAGGTTAGCCATGAAGATAGCTGAAAGTTAGCGGTGAAGATAGCTGAAAGTTAGCCGTGAAGATAGCTGAAAGTTAGCGGTGAAGATAGCTGAAAGTTAGCCGTGAAGATAGCTGAAAGTTAGCGGTGAAGATAGCTGAAAGTTAGCCGTGAAGATAGCTGAAAGTTAGCGGTGAAGATAGCTGAAAGTTAGCCGTGAAGATAGCTGAAAGTTAGCGGTGAAGATAGCTGAAAGTTAGCCGTGAAGATAGCTGAAAGTTAGCGGTGAAGATAGCTGAAAGTTAGCCGTGAAGATAGCTGAAAGTTAGCCATGAAGATAGCTGAAGGTTAGCCTAAAATGAAGGACAGACATTAGCCAGGTACGGTTTGGTTAAAAGTACTTTGAAATGTTCGTTAGCATTCACGGTATGGTTAGCTGTGTGACTGAACGGACTTTAACCAAGAAAACCACCTGGTAAACCAGGTGAACTCAGTGTGTGTGTGTGTGTGTGTGTGTGTGTGTGTGGCCCCTCCCCCTCCTCCAGTCTGTCCGGCTGTCCAATCGCTGCTGCAGAGAAAATGGCAAAAGTCCACGAGAAGACTCACGTGAGCGACGGCGGTGGGAAGAACAGTCAGACGTCAGATCGAGTCCTCAGGTACGGACCTCACCTCCTGCAGGGGGCGACACAACCCTTTGGTTTCTTGCCGTGGTTCCAACCGTGCGTTTCGTCCTCCAGACCCATGTGTTTCGTCAAGCAGCTGGAGATCCCTCAGTACGGCTACAAGAACAACGTTCCCACCACCACCCCGCGCTCCAACCTGGCCAAGGAGCTGGAGAAATATTCCAAGACCAGCTACGACTACGGCAGCTACGACGGCCAGCACAGCAGCTACGGCAGGAAGGCTCCCACCTCCAAGTCCCACCACGGACGAGACACGTCCCCCAAAGGGTTTGACGGTGAGAACCAGTGACAGCTAGCTCCGCTTGTAGCATGTTAGCTAAAACGGTTGACAAAGACTAGCTAACAGTTTCACAATGAGATTCAATTAGCACTTAATTCAAGGAAACTTTAGCACAAAGTGAAAAGTTAGCCTAAATATTAGCATCAGTTAGCAGCAGAGGATTAGACGAGAGAGCAAAAAATTGAAGAGAAATTGCTAAAAGTTTGTTTCCTCCACTCTTATATAAAAATAGCTCAATATTTTTATATAAAAGACGAAAGACAACCACGGTACATTTAAAATGTACATAAAACACAAGGTAAAGGTTAGCCAAATGTGCTAAACGTCAGGGACATAGTCAATACGTTTATAGTAAGAACAGCTAAGAGTTAGCTGAGAATTGTTCAACTGTGATTAAAACTCAAGCCCATAGCGTATGTAGCAAAGGCTAAAGGTTAGCCAAAAAGCTAAGTCTGTCTACATCCACCTGTCGAACACCTCTGCAGCGAAACGCTACTGCAAGACGTCCAGTCCCGCTAGCAGCACCACCAGCAGCTACGCCCCCAGCAGCAGCAGCAGCAGCCTGAGCTGTGGAGGAGCAGCAGGAGGCGGAGGCAGAGGAGGGGGAGGAGGCGGGGGAGGAGGCGGGGGAGGAGGCAGCAGCGCCAGCAGCCCCTGCAGTAAGAGCAGCTTCGACTACACCCACGACGCAGCAGCGCCAGCAGCACCTGCAGTAAGAGCAGCTTCGACTACACCCACGACATGGAGGCCGCTCACATGGCAGCCACCGCCATTCTCAACCTGTCCACCAGGTGTCGTGAGCTCCCCCACACCCTGGGAGTCAAACATCAGGAGCTAATGACGCAGGTAACACCAGCAGGAGGAGCTGTGGGACACAGTGGGACACAGTGGGACACAGTGGGACACAGCGGGGCACACGCTCACCACAGCGCTCACCACAGACACCTGTCCTCGGTCAGAACTAAACCTTAGCTTAGCTTAGCCAAGTTAGCTCGTACGGCTAGCTATGAAGAGGGCAGTGGTCGGATTCTCACCTGCCGTTTAGAAGGTTCTGGTTCACATTTTAACCACTGCTGTGGCGCCCCCTGATGGTGCAACAGTTTGAATGTCATTCTTCAGTGAAAAGTTTCTCAAAGTTGTAGCCAAACATTTTTAAAAGTGCGGAGGAGGTCCAGCTCACAGACCAAAGTCCAGAAACCTCTGGTGCGCTGCTGCCTCGTGTGGTCGGTTTTGAATTTTTTAACTCAGCAGCAGTGAGTCAACAGCTGCTGTTAAATCTTCATGTTAAAGTTTTCTCCATGGACCCTGGTGTGGGTGGAGGAGAAGTTTCCAAACAAAGTTCTGACTCCTCACGGGGTCAAAGAGTCGTGGAGGTCCAACACGTGGGCCGCC